CCCTACATAAATTGTGACATGACTACCTTCAACATACGTAGTTGCAATCTTACCCAAGGTAGAGGTGTTAATTCAACTTCAGTAAGTACGGTAAATACCTGTGCCCCTACTGTATATAAGAAGCTTGAGGAAATTGCATCCTTTCAATAATGCATACCACCTAACTATGGGCTCAGAGGTCCTTAAGACTGCCAGTATTAAGACAACCTGAGCCCCCCTCATCCTCAAAAGTGAAGCCCCAGGTTTTATTATATGGTAAAATAAGCTATCCAAGGGAACTTCAAAGTTTGTCATCAAATGGTGTTAAAAGCTGTCTTCATTTCCTGCAGGAGGAGAACTCCACTGAAACAAAATCCCTCCCTTTTTATTAAGTTTCTTAGAAGCAATGGTAAGTTTTTCCAACTTAAAATTAATTTTGTGTAAGCAAGCAGGATGCCACATTATAAAATTTTTTTTTTTAAGTTTGCAGACTAAGAGTGGCATGGATTTTTAACAGTGCACTGACTTATTAGAGGGAACTAGGCAGTGTACATGTGCTAAAGGATTGTCTCATGGTTTAGTAAACCAGTTTCTTATTAACCCTAGCTCCAAGGCTAATGTTTAAGTTTCAGCATGAAAACCAGTTGTCTAGTACTCACTAGATATTGTTTATGGGATATTGTTTTTCTGAACCTTACGTCAAGCTTTCATACACATGTGCAAGAGTCAAAAAGGAATAGCATGTGTAACAGGGATTCAAGAGACATGCTCTCTGTAAGAAATGCAGGTTTCTCAATAGTTCAGTACAAACAGATGCTTACCTCAACGACTCTCTCAAACATATGAGCTAAGGGCAGGAATGATATCAGAACGTCATCAGAGGAAGGCATAAATGTTTTCTGAAAGTGAAAGTGTTAGTAAAATTAAAGTTAAGCAAAATAGACAATAAACACCACAATGAAATCTGGCATCTAAACTCTAGAACACAGCCCTCACTTCAGTTTTGTTTGTAATGAAGCTGCATTGTCCTTCTCTCATTAAAAATATTACAGCAATGACTTCTAGCATGTGCAAACATATATTGCAGAAATGGTAATCTTTTAGAGTACAGTGACCAGATTATTGCAGCTTACCATTCATATGGTTATGAACAGAAAATTGAGAGAGAAACCACAGAAAGTGCCATTATATATTGGGAGGGAGGGGGAACAAAAGAAGTAAAGTAGTGTGCCTTAGGGGTTTAAAAAAATTACTCACTTTCATTTTAGATCAGAAAGTTTGCTTATGCAATTTACCATGAGATTGATATCAAGAGTACCTTACATGATTCAATTGAGACCAGCTGTGTAATCTAAAAACAGTCCTGCATGCAGAGTACTTGGCAAAATAAGTACAGTTGTATTTTTAAATACATCTGTATGTGTTAGATCTTAGGACCATCATCCTAGCTAGCCTACAGATGAACTTTAGTAGTCTAATGTGAACGAAAAGTTAACACTGTATCAAGTAAAAATACAGAGTCATGCTTCTTGCTCATTTATGCAAGGGTTTTAATTATTTTGGTGGGTTAAAATACATTATAGCTTCTCCTATCCTTAGTGCAAAAGGTTAGCCTCTACACCAATCCTCTGATATAGAGCTTGCACTAAGGACAAATACTATAAGCCCAGGGCAGAATGTAAGGTATAGTCACATTAGGATCTTTAACATTTTGCTTGGATCAGGTCAAATTTGTCAGATTCTTAACCCTGACAGAAGAAATCAGTAAATATTGACTTCTGATCTAGCATAGGCAGAGTGCTATCAAGTTGTATTTTCACTTGGATCTTACTAAAAGTTAAAACCAAAGTTAATGAGACTTCAATGTTGGTTTTACTCTTGAAATTCTTCCTTTCATGCAAATCCCCAGTGTTAACCTTTGCAGTTTACCTCTGTAGATTTCACAAAAGCTGAAGCATTGCTGACTATGTTTTGATGAGTGATCATAGCTCCTTTGGGGTTTCCTAAGGAAGAAGCACATCAGGATAACAGTGAAATTTTTCAATCCTTTAAATTACTAAGCAGTGGTAAAGCTAATCTAATAGCATTTCAATCAATCAGTCCCTTCTTCAATATCGATATCTTTCTCTGTATATTAAACAAAGTCAGAGAACTTACTTTCAATAGCTGGTAACAGTTACATAGTAAGTTTGTGTTGAAGTCCTCAAGTTTCATAAGGAGAGCAAATCCTTAAGAAATTGTCATGTTTCTTGGATACGCTTCTTTCATTTGAAATTCAACACTTCTGTGAAGACGCAGCTATCAAACCCAGACTTATTTCTGTTCTCAAATCTCCTTCAAAAGTGTAGCTTGACATTGTACTTTTCCCTATTACTCCCTGCCAGCATTGGCTATTAACTCACAAATGTCAAGTGTGTGATACCTAGACAGTCTTTCTGCAGCAAGGTTGCTTAGAGCTAAGGAACAGATTTTGCTAATACAGTACAGAAAAAGTCTATGGAAGAATTGAAAGTCTGATGCAGAGCCCCTATCATGGAAATACAGGTTCAGTACTTATTTCCAAGCCCAAAAGTGTAACACCTCCACCCACCAATACTGTAACTTTTTACTGATCAATGCGAGGGAAAAAAAAAAAAAAATCAAAGGGAGCCTTACCATAAAACTTCCCCAGCTACTACTTGCCAAAAAGATGCAGCAGCAGGGGAGAGTCTTGAAAAAAAAAAGTAGGAGGGCTTCTGAATTAATTTTGCACATACAGGATAATAAATTCTGCATAATGTAATTAGGTGTACCTGTCGTTCCACTGGTGAAACAGATGACTGCTAGATCTTCTGGCTTTGGAGGCTATGAGAATTAAGAAAGTATTAGTATGATTAAGATGCAACGAAAAATATTTTCCTGGACAAAACACTAAAATACTAGTGTTACTTTTGAGCTATGGGAGATAGGGAGATTTGCTCGTTTGATCTACAGAATGCTATCTAGCTTCAGATTGTCACTTGAACTTACCATAGGTTTTTGCCTGTGTGTTCTTCCCAGCTCCTACAGAAAGGAGAGAAAGGGGAGAGAAATAGTTTAAACATGAGCACATTCACTTTTTTTGCTTTAAATCTACTAAACACCATAATATTTCATTTAGCCTGTTTAGGCATTTTAACTTATAAAAAGAGTAACAAAGACTTTAAAGGACATTTTAAAGATATATGGAATAACTACCACATTCTACAAATACAAAAGTGATAACTAATCTAAAATTTAGGGTTTTTTTCCAGCTAGTACAATAGAAACCACTTGCTAGAGAAGCTCAAGGCTAAGCAGTGTTATGACAAGCCACAGGAGGCAATCAATGACATATGCCACTGACAACTGTTGAACAGATGAAGCAAGATTCATCTCAGTAAGTACCTCACATCACCATCACTGCTTGTGAGAAGGAAAACTGGGTTTCCCCATGCAGAGTCACTGGTATTTTGTACTCCTTTTATACTGAAGAGTGGAGAACACAAGATTCTCTCCTCCAGAAACTCTTTTCCTTCCCTCTGCCTCCTTACAGTTATTCAGGCCTGACAATTAATGATGTCTAGTTCTTGAGGCAGAAGGGAATGGATACCAAGAAGATCCTTTTATGATCAAGGATATAATGACTAAGAGGAAGATTTGAAAGCTAATGTTCAATATCTATGAGCTTTAAAGTTTCAAATCAAGACTTACTGACATGCCTGTTTAAGACTAGAAACAATACTAGCTTAAAGACTTAACAGAAGGCCCATTTTAATTTGCATAAGTATAGCTTTGGAAGCACCCTTTGAGGGCAGACACATCAACTTCACCATTGCCTTTACATTCCAAGTACACAATAGCACTGTGCATTCCTTTACTAGCCCTAGACTTCCTTTAGTATGATGTACCTCTTAAGATTACCCAAGGAGATTGAAGAAAAAAAGGAATGTCCAGAAACACAGTTAACATTCCCATTCCTGTAAGTCTACCCTTTTGAAACAGTGCTATTATGCAGAAGTTTGCCACTATGAAGATGCAGTTGTCTGCTCAAGACAACAGCATCTGCATTTTGAGTACCACCAGAAGCTCACTACTTCCCTACAGCCCATTTTGAGTAAGATGTGGTATTTACTAAATATACAGCTAAGATTTCCACACAGTTTTGACCTCCTAGAGCAAAACTCCATCTTTTTCTATTGAAGAGGCATTTATTCACAGCTACTCAGCTCTAAATAACCACAGCATACATACAGATATTAGACATCAGAAACCAAGCTTACAGTATCTGGGAGATACACAAACTGGTCATGTAACCTATAAGCACAGCTGAGCAACAAGCTCAAGCCAGAAATACAGAAAACAAGTACTTAAAGCTAGAAATAGTAATTTTATTCTAATCTAAGCTCCTAAACAGTTCATAGTTGCCTTTCAGGAGACAGTAAAAGCCCCCACCACTTAAAGTGACAAAAATTGTTCCTGCTCACTGAAACATTATTTGAAATATTTAAGGTCGCCTAATTTCACTGAGATTTAGACAAGAGGCTCTTGGAGCACCTCCTACCACATTAATCCAAACATCAAATGTTGTTAAGAGCTACAAAGTACTACTGGAACTCACTAAAGAATGTAAACTTCTAACTTAAAGATAGCATTCACCCCCTGCTTTTGTTTTTCTGTAGCTAGTAGATCTAGTGGAAAGCATCTTCTTCTGCCAAAAACTAGCATTCAATTCAAGGGAAGAAGCTGGTTTTAGTACACCAACTTGCAGTTGGGCCAATCTTTTTCCAAGTTTAACCTAACTCTTTTGCCAGTGAGCTATAAGTCACTTCTCTGCATTAATGTTTTTAGCCCCATTTCAACCTGGCAGTCTTGCTGAGGCTAGTTAACTATGATACAGTTAATCATCTTTTAGGACACATGCTGGCATTTTGTATCTTTACCAGAAGGTGGCCCTGCTAACATAACAGTTAAGGCTGCCGTGAAAACAAGTTCAGTGAAATGAGATATTTCGCACCAGTTACTGACACCTGCACAAGACAGCCACACTTATTTGGAGATACTCAAGTCCTAGTGAGCCAAACCTTCACCAGAACTCCAGCTAGAACCAGGCTAAACCCCGTTTCATAATCTCACAGTAAAGATTTACTTTATGCAATTTGATCCTAGGACACAGTTCTCTAAATGAGCGAAGTTACGAAATAAACTTGCATAAGAGATCTGTGCAGACAAAATAACTACAAGCAAAACCAAGACTTGAACATTAGGTGGCTAAGCAAAATGGTTTCTACTTCCAAAACATGTAAGTGTCATTCCCTTACATTACCATAAGCTTAACCTGGAACAGTTTTACTGCCATTTTCCTGCTCTTCCAGAGATTTTGTAGATTCAGTGTAAAGGGGAAGATGCCATTTTTCACAAGACCAAAACCTACACAGGCTCTTTTTGAAATAAGTATTTTGAAGTATTAGTCACAGTATGTAATTATGTTACCGCTTCACATGGGCAAGCCTTAACACTCAGATCTGATGTTCTGTCTGGACTGTGTTAACAAGCTTTTGTTCCGTCATCTTGGCATATGCGCTTTTACATTTTGAGCGCTGTGAAATACTATTAGCAAGTTGTTTTCCTTGTTGGGTTTTTTTATGTTTTTGTGTAAATTTCAGTCCAAGAGGTAGTTAAGTATTTTGAAACTAATCCACCACATTTCGTTCAGTCCTAAAATCTGTTCAACAGACACAGTTGTCTTCCTCCAGAAGTAAGTGGAAGGAAAGCAGTAAAGTAGGTTAAGTATGCTTACCTCTATATATCTCATGCTGAGGACTTCCACCCCACACTTTTTGCCACGTTCCACAAGATCCATGCCAAAAGATTCCATGATAACAATGGTGTTGAGTATTGGAGTTTCCCCCTTTTCCACACTGGTTAGCAGAAGTTTGGCCTTGTCAGGTTTGTCACAGAAAACCAATGACAAGTCAGCTGATGAAAGAGAACGACATTATCAATATGACAAGTTGAGCTTAGACTAGATCCATACATGCTTCAAGACCTGGTAATGGAAGAGTCTTCTAAAGAAGGCTCTAGTTCTGCCCTCAGTCAGCTCCGCCATCATACATTCAGTTGCTGAACTACTGGAAGTGTCCTACCTTTGTTCACAGTGTACGTAATTGCTTCAGTTCCCAGTGTATCATAGAGTGGCACCACCACCATGGAGAACGCATAGCATCCTTGTTCAATGATAACCCACTGCACAAAAATAGAAGATTCAAGTCACTACCTGTTTGCCTATAACAGACGTCCAAGAGAAACTCATATTTGGATTCTAACAAGGAAGCTAATAGGACAGAGCTCATTTGGACAAGTCTCTCTAAAAAAATAAGTGGCAGTTTGTATTATTTGTTTACTTTGAAGACCTACTAAGTTTTTATCTGTGGAAGGAAGAAAAAAGAAACAATATGGAGCTATGGGAAAGAATCCAGTCCCACAGAATCCAACTCTGCCTCTGCAAGTGATTTTAAGTACTTTTGAAAAACAGTTAACATTTACTCAAAGTCTCTTTCTGTTAATAGGTAAATATTTTTTTCTTGGTTTTAGGTTACTGAGGTAGCCAAAGCCTTCAATATTCTATATTACCATGGTATAGGATCAATGAAGAACTTGCTCATGTTTTGACACATATTAAATCTATATATACACAGTATTCTTACCTCTGCATTATCTGCATCTCATTTGATGGCCAGACATGCAACTAGAAGTCCTTTGGAAAGCTAGCCCCAGAAAGTTTCTCAGCATTTCAAGACTAACCATTCTTTAAGGAATCTAGTCTGAACACTTCTATAAAAAGTGCAATTACATCCATGCAAGCTGCAGTGATGCTTTGCCTACTAACAAATGAAGTACTCAAACATCATGAATATTGCAGCCTCATTGTGTATGATGCAAGCAGGCCAATGCTTTACAGCAAGCCTGAATTTATCCAAAGTACCATCAAGGTAAGATAGTCACGCAATTCTCTTTCCAGATAGTAGCTATTGGGTATAGTTTGTAAACAACTAGCTACACCAAAATACAGGTTAGCATGCAACTCCTGAAATGGGAGCCTCCAGACACATAAGAGGCCAGTGGAACTGGAACATTTCAGTTTTTCCTAGAGACAAATAAAAAAATTCTCAGACACAGTATCTTTAGTCAGTTCTAGTTACAGAAACAAAACATCCATCTTTAAAGTTATCAGATCTTACAATTCAACAAGGATTGCATTAAGAAGGGTTTTGCTTCCCCTTCCCACCCCTAAACTTTGTCACACTTTCCAGTGTTTTTGGAGGACACTAGTCATTGTATGGGGGTGAAGTAACTAGCTAGTTTAAATGTCATTCAGCTGGTTATTCCATATATTATCTAATATAGAGGCTATGTTAACATAGTTGCTAAATCTCAGTTTTATGAGCTGTTTATTAGGGGCAAGTTTCCTAAAGTAAGTTCTCCACTGATTGAGACAGCCATAAATGCAGGGAATTTTTCTGAAAGCATTTACACAATAGGCAAGTTATACACCTTTTGTCCAAAAAAGGCTTCTTATAAACTAGCACAAGGCCAGCTAACAGGTAACTAGACTTTCATGCAGACATTAGAAATACTGGTAAGTCTAAGCAGGCACACCTATACCAGCCATGAAAGGTTATACTGAATATTTCTTCTTAGATAGCATCCACCTGTACACATAACAAGGAGGGGCAGCTGTATTGCTGTTCAGCAGCCTGAAGTTTAGTAGTTATTTTAATAGGATGGGGGTCTACTATAGTAGACTTCAGAAGCTGCACACAGTGATAAAAGCTTTCTGTTGCAGTTGCCAACAACTCTTGCACACCATCATTCTCAATACAACCAGCATCTTTATTTCCTGGACTACCAAGACATTTTTCTTCCATTTTAGCTTCTAAAATTAAGAACATTTAAATACAAATATCAAACCTTGACACTTAGAGTTTTTTCCTTAAAGTCCAAGCAAGCAACTAGGACTAATACAGACAGCAGTTTGAAAGTTTCAATTTGTTTTCTGACATGGCTCTGATCTTCTATTAAGGGACACTGTATATTTAACTGTCCTGTTTTCTCAATCCAAAACACAACTTCCTTGCTTGCAGAAGAGATCATCTGTTTTCCAGTTACTCAGAGAAAGTAATGTTTTTATTTATAAAGCCAAGTTTGGCTTTTTAGTGAACACTTAAGCAAGTAGCATGCTAGGATTTTCCCCATTAGGGGATTTCCCAGCAGTTGTTCCCTGAACTGACAAATATGAATCATTTCACACCAAAACCTTCACATCATCTCCTGTCTGAATTAGTGATTATGTTGTGGATGTCACAACACCCATCCAGTAGTTTTCAGCAGGGAAAATCCCAGATTTAAAATTGCTGGTTTAAACAAGTCTTTCCAGCTCATTCCTGATCCAATTCAAAGCCTGCTGCTGGAGCAATGCAACTCAAGCACATTTTGTCTCTGTGATCTAAGAGCAGACCACACTACTGTGCTCTCCTTCAGAAAATCCACTGACCCAGCAGTCAAGACTTTGTACCCAATGTCTATAAACAGTTCAAACTGGCACAACACTAACATCTGGCTCCCTTTTTCACTTCCAGTTCATAGTGTTATAAGCACAGGAGACTGAAGAGTCTGTAACACCATGTCATTTAACAGCTTCCTAGTTGGAGACATCTCAGTCTTGTTACAGAAATAAAACTGTAGTTGTTAGAACCAGAATTCCAGCAGAAAAATCCAAACTACTGCAAATTTAAAAGCCTGGAAAGTGTTGGGGTTTTTTTTCTTCATCTGTAGAAGACTAGAGTTAGCTGGGTTTTTTGTGTGGTGTGTGTTGGAGAGGAGGAAGGGAGTCAAGGTCAGTTGTCACACAACTTATATTTTAATGACAGAAGGGAAGGCTCAGTGACAAACTCAAATCAGAAGAGACCCAACAGCAAGTTGTTGTCCAGCACAATCAAGACACTGATAGAACTTCTAGTCTGTCAACACCATAGATGGCTCTAGATAATGACTTCCAGTTGGGAGTATTTAGTATTTTGCCAAAACTTAAGAACCAGTCTCCTGTCTTAATACAGGTTTGGATTGAGCTAGCTTAATGCAGCAAGTACCAATTCAAGCTAATAAGCACATAAATGTAGGTTAGAAAAATTCAATCCTATTAAACAGATTCAATAAACAAGTCTAGAGAAGAAGTATTTACTGAATATTTTGTAATTTAGAAACAGCAGTCTAGAACTACTTCTGGGTTAAAACAGACACTAGTTAATCAATCTAAATATCCTTGTAGTTTTCTCAGGTCTGTAACATTTTGCTTTGTCAGGTGATCTTTAATTACATCACTTTAGTCTTTCTGCCCCTTTATTAAACTGCAATTAATTTTCAATTTTTGCCTTCATCAGCAGTTCTCCTTCCCAGAGTCTTTATGCCCAGGGCCTCTGCAGAGATAGAGCTATTACTTCTTCTATTTGTCCAAATATTTAATCACTGTTTCTTTGAGTTTTGAAGGGTTTAAACACTTCCTTTGACTTCTAACCTCTTTCAATTACCTTGTACTCCAACATCACTTTAAGAGAAAGCAAATGGTGATTACATTCACTAAGCACCACATTAACTTCCCATTAAGCAGCCCTCCTCTAACTGGAAAGAAGAGAAGAAAATGAGTTAAGCTGTTCTTGATTCCCTAATTCTCTTCCTGCTCTCTAGACTTCTGCATTCAGGTCTGGGAGCAAAACCACAATATAAGACACTAACAGGTGTGTCAGTTATCAGTTTTGGTTCTTAGCTAAAGATGCCATGTCTACAGCTTCTGGGTCTACAGTGTCAGCCTTTAGCCTTTTCCCAACGCCAAATGGACTCTCAATAGGAGAACTCAGTACATTGCCAAAAAGCAACAGATGTAAGAGTGAGACACTTCAATAACAGACAGACCACCAACACACACAGTCAAATTACCTCAGGTCTGTTTTGTGAAAAGATTCCTATATATGGAGCATGAGATGGTTTGAAGCCTCGGTGGAGTAATGCAGAGCCCACATACTCAGCTCTGTCTGAAGCCTGGAGGGGCAAAAAAAGATGACAAAAAATTTGAGAGCAAGTTTATCGGTATATACCCTTCAACATTATTTTACCTAAAGTCTTACAAAAAAGGCCAATAACTGGGATGGAGTAGACAGAAGTTTTCTAGGCTATTTCAGATGTGTTCTGACACCGCAGTGCCATTACACTGCACTGATTGCAGATACTTCTGTTGCATATTGAGTGCAGGTGTAGAGACACTTAAATCAGTTGGACTTTAAAATAAGTTTAAATGTCAAGCTTGCATAAGCTTTGTTTTATCTGTATTAAACCCCGGAAGTGACTTTAAGCAGAAATATAATACTAAATCATTCCAATCACAACTACTACATATGCCATTCTTCTGCTTTGTTCACTGCCTGTGGGAATAGCATTTGTCCCTTCAAAAAGGGGGAGAATAACAAGGCAAACCCAGCTAGTTCTATAAACAAAGCTTGGGAAGGCAACTCTCTAAATTCTTCCCATATAGCACATGACCTGAATCCATGTTAGTCACATGACTCAAAGAAAAACTTAGAGAGGTTGTACCTAATAAGTGCCCAGCAAAATCACCTTGGAAAAGTGAGGTCTGCTACTACAAAAGGTGGTTAATGACCTTTGCAGCATGCAATAGGCAAGATTTATGCAAATTCGAAAACAGTAACTGATTTCTGATTAAATCAGAAATGACCTAAGAGTGCACAGCTGTTAAAGATTTGCATAAAGGTATTTTTAGCAATCATGAAGGAGCATGCTACTAGTTAGAAGCATATCTGTTAACACCCTATGCAACCATCATCCAGCACTATGGAGACAAACTGTCAAGAAGCTAAAGTAACATCTGTAGACAGGACCTTTCCTAGTGTAGAATGAGCCTCTCAGAAGCAAGTACCTAAAGTAGTAGCAGTTTGAGTCCCTGAATACTACTTTAAAGCTGCAGCCCTTCAGGGGCAGTGTCCAAGTTCTAAACAATTCAGCAATGAGATGCTAAAAGCTGCCAAGATAACCACAAAAAAAATCTGAAATAAAACCATTAATAAACCAAGTGCAGGAAATACTCTTAACCCATTGTACATATTTGAGGCTGTTCCTTTAAAATACTCTAACAGGAACCAGAGCCTTTCTGCAATATTCTGCTACTACTTTAAGACATCTATAAATAATTAATATTTGTTGTATCACATTACTGGATGTTGTACCAGTGGTTTCAGCAAGCAAAAGCAGGTCTAGCACTACATTAGAGAGACAACATACCTCTTTATAGGAGATCCATTCATACGGCTGGTTTGGTTTTCTAACACCTAAACATGGACCATTATCTAAAAACAATAATCAAAAGTTACTCAAAATTTAACCCCTGACACCACGCTAACTACACTCCTGGTGTCTAGATTCTTTGCAGACACCTTCAGAAGACAAACTGTTTTTTTAGAGGGAGGCAGGGAAGGAAGCTGGGGAAAGACAGAGACAACAAGGTTGGTTTAGGCTAAGGAACACAGCACTGGCTTTATTCACACAACTCTGCTTCACAAGAGGTCACAGTTAAATTTGCCTTCAAGAAAGCTCACACCCAATACATTTATCATACAGCTGGGTAGACATCCCCTATCACCAACTGTATTTCAACAGAGCCGAGACCTTTGGTTCTTGACATATTGTTGAAAAAAGTTATCTGTAATTTTAGACTTACTTGATACTTGCACACCCCTTTGGAAGATGTCATAAACTGTTCTCACATCATCGTAGTAGTAAATCATCAGTTCATCACTGTTAAGAAGAGAGGACCTTCGAGCATGCTCACCACCCTAAGAAAACAAATTAGAAAGGTTAGACACTTGTTGGTTATAAACAAACCTGAAGAAATAAAACCACCACATCCATTAAGTTTGTTATGAACCTTGGTAAATTCTGCTTGAGAACTTCAGTTCTTTTCACCACCGGGGAGAGATCTGCAAGGTTTCCCAGAACATTGTTTAAGGAGTCAGACTGTTACCTGTATTACTTAAAACCTGTCAGGCAAAATCTTATTCCTCAGCTACCTATGAAGGCACAGAGCAAAGAATGACAAAAAGCCCTTTGACACTCCTTACTGGACACAGGGTTTTTCTTAAGAAATGTTTTACTCTATTATTGCAGTATATAGCATAATTAATGCCATCAAGCTTTCTAAATCACTCCAGCCTCAGAGCTCTCTAGATACAACACTAATGCCGAGATCCTAATCTTTTCTAATTAAGATTAGAAAATATAATCACACTTCAAACTGTGGTTTTAAAACCTAAATGATTTTAAGGGTGGTCAACAACACCCTAAACAAGTGTTCTCATAATTAAAATACTCTGTACCAGACTAAATTGGATTAAAGGACTAATTTTTTAAGTTCCATCTTACAAAAGAGTTTCCTCCTGATCTAGTTAGAGACAGTCAAGACAATACTACCTTGAGGACTAAAATCACTGTTTTCAGCAGGTTAGCTTTTTCTACAACTGGAAGTCAATACAAGCATTTAAGAGTTTGTAGTTTTAACATACCTTTTTTTTTAAAAAGTAATCTCATTTTATATTGATCAAGTTTCACAAACTGCAGTTATGCAAATACTATTCGGCCACATTTATTAGTCCTGCTACAATGACAGACACCTACAAGCAAGTTCTTAGCAGGAACAACCTTGCTGGTTAAACAGAGGGTCTTGGGTAAACATTGCATAAGATTCTCTATCAGTGATTGAAGTCAACTCCTGGCTCTTTCACAAAGTTAAATCCTGGACTAACTAAATCTGTGTCTGAATTGTGTCATCACTCACAACAAAGACCTATTCATATGCAATCATAGGCTCTTCCCAGCCCTTGCTTTATTTCCCTGTTTTCAAAGTACCCCGGAAGACCAGAGAACATCTATTCATGTATAAACTAACCACAGGTTTATCTGCAAGAGATGTCACATTGTCTGCGTCCACAGAAAGGAGCTAGCACATTAGAGGCATATCAGAAAAGAAAAAATATTTTAACACTTAAAACAAGTCTAACTTGGTTGAGTAAAACACTATGTGTAATGCAGTACTTGCCACTCCTTTAGCGGTAAGCAGAAAGGTACACTGTGAACGTGACCCATAACAAGTTAATGACGGGCTTACTTCTAAAAATTCCTAACACTAGAAACTCAAGAGCATACTTGCACTCAGACCAACCTCTACTCTATGGGAAATGAATGAATCACTAGGACATGTGTCTGCCTGGAAAGAAAAGCAAGACTGTTTGCTTTATTGCACTGGTTTCACAGATCTTTGATAACCATGGTCAGCTTCTAGATTTTCCCATTTTCACCACCTCTGGAGCTAACCTGAGAAAGAGCATCACACAATGCAGTTTATAACCACAATCATAGGTAATGTCAACAAGTGCAATGTTTGATGTGCTGCAATTCCTGTGTCAGGTGAAATATCCTAAGCCATTCCTTGGCAACAGTCAAGAAATATTTGTTTTCTCCTCATCTGAGCTACTACTGTTTTGTTTATACACCCTACTACTCAGCACCACAAAACCAGGTTTTGCAGGGCTTGAGGCACTGACCAAATCTGAGGATGAGACTTATAAGACAGACAGCACACTGCTTAGATACAAAACCAGCTGCACCATCCTTCTGAAAAAACAAACTCTATAACTTACTACTATTTAAAATACCCCATCAGTTCTCCTGAGTTTTCAGTAAAGGGAAACCTAACCAACTCCATGGTTCTGCTTACTGTATTAATTTCACTTTACTTTGGGAAAAAGAACTGAGTTTAACAGCCCTAGAGTAAGAATTTACTGAAAAACACCCAACTCCTTGTGATAAGACCACCAGGAGTTCAACATTATTCTTAGAAATGCAGTGAAATACACCTGGATATGAAGATCAATTAGACCTTACCTTATAGTCCCAGTTTGAACTTATCTACTAGGTAGTATTATGGCGTTGGTCTGCATTTTGCTTGAGAGCAGCAAGAACTACTATTTTAAGGGCCTGTCCAAAGGGTCCTTATCCAGAATATTCATGCAATATCAGGGAAAGCTCTGTTTGCAGCAAACTTTTCTAAAAGTCACTGGTCATTACAACCACCAAACATCTGAATCTCAGGACCAGAATGTTTGGCTGATTTCACACAAGTTATTTGAATGGGATCGAACAGATTTGTCCAGTACAAAGGTAAGCACTCCAAAGGCTTGTCAGTTTTACCAAAGTGTTTTTAAGGAGCCAGGCAATAAAATCTTATTAATGTGAGAACAGCCTCTGGTTACTCATGTAAGGCAGCCCTTGCAGCAACTCAGGGAGTTGCTGTGTAATGGGTCAATTTCCTGCAAGTGCTGGACATCAGGTAAAACCTTGGCATTGGTTGAGAATAGCAGCAGCTGAAGGAAACAGATTTATTCTACAACAGAGGCATATATTACTCTACCAATACCTATTTGGGTCACATAAGACAGCTGCTTTTGTTCAAGCCATGGGTTTGCTTCTTGTTGACGCAGGCTGCTTAGGATTAGCAGTAATGTCGAAACACACTGTTGGCTTCACCATGCCTCAGAAGCAAGAGACCCAATTCCCATTTTCCTGAGAGAAAAAGTACACTAGCAAGTGATGCTTAGGTCATCAACATGCATAGTCTGAGCAGCAAGAAGTATAACTAAGTTTTCAAACCAGCCATAAAATTTTAAGCATGCTAATGCCTAGATAAGCACACAACAGCTAAAATTGATCACTTGATAGTAAGACAAGCACGTGTCTAATCAAATGATTCTTGAAGACAAAGCAAGCTAGAGTTCTGGTAATGTATCAGGAGAATAAAAGGAGGTTTAAAAGTTTTCATGAGTTGAATACCTCTCCATATTTGAATGTCTTAAGGGAAGGAAAAAGCCAGAGTCACAAATCCAAACTCTTACTACTAGAAAATACTGACATCTTACTGTTTATTTATATGCTATCCTTCTACATACTTTAGTAGAACTTGAGCCAAATAGAATTATTTGGGGATTTAAAGCAAGATTTAATATATTTGACAGCTACATACTTGCACTCAAATCAATAGTCAAAGTTGTTCAGCTATCAGTCACCAATGGAAGGAGCAACCTACAAGCAGACAGATCCAGATATGCCTACAGTTACAGACATTAAGGGTGCAACAAGCTTTGCAAGACACAGGACTAACGCCCTATTTCTACCATTACTGTAGTGCAGAAATTCTTAACAATACAGTGCATGATTGAGTATAGCATGAGTCTCAGCAATGCAGTCTCACACTAGTCAGACTTTATTTAGAATTACTCTTCATTAGTCTTGTCTCCCCTGCTAAAGACAAAGGATTCAAGCGGATCCTGAAAGATTTTTCACCTATACCTCTGCACAATCAGGTTGGGAGCTTTGAAGACAAGAAGGTTTCTTTCAATGAAATGTAACTGCAGTATGCATACTTTAAAGATTGTACTCCACATCTTTAGTTGTGGCATCTACTCTAGAAGAGCTGATACTTTCAGTAATTCTTTGTACCAATATTAAACTAAGTGTGCAATCTTTATGCTCACTCAGTGATGGTTAAAATGGATCACTGAGTGGTGATGGGTGCTGGCCTACTGTCCTGGTTTCAGCTGAGAGGATTGATTTTTCTTCATAGTAGCTAGTGTGGGGATATGTTTCGGATTTGTGCTGGAGACAGCATTGATAATATAGAGATGTTTTTGTTCTATGGACCTATTGCTGAGCAGTGTTTACATGGGGCCAAGGCCTTTTCTGCTTCTTGCATTGCCCTGTCAGCGGGATGGCTGGGGGTGGACAAGGAGTTGGGAGGAGACACAGACAGGACAGGTGACCCAAACTGACCAAAGGGATATTCCATACTATATGACGTCATGCTCAGTTTATAAGGAGCTTGGGGGAAGAGAGAGGGGGCAGCGGCGTTCGGAGCGATGGCGTTTGTCTTCCCAAGTAACCATTACGCATGACAGAGCCCTGCTTCCCTGGGGATGGCTGAACACCTGCCTGCCCATGGGAAGTGGTGAATGAATTCCTTGTTTTGCTTTGCTTGTGCACACGGCTTTTGCTTTACCTATTAAACTGTCTTTATCTCAACCCACGAGTTTTCTCACTTTAACTTTTCCAATTCTCTTCCCCATCCTGATGGGGGGGGAGTGAACAAGCGGCTGCGTGGTGCTCAGCTGCCAGCTGGGGTAAAACCATGACACCTACCAAATCAAAGCTTTTCGGAGACAGGAGGTGACCTGGAACAGCAATAAATAGGATCTTTTTCCTCCCATATAAAGATATGAAGACTTATTATCAAAATATGTAGAAACACTACTTCAGTCACTGACTTTAATTCTTAGAAGCCAAGGAAATAAGTCACAAGTAGGAATTAGGCAGAAGCTTATTTCTAGTTCAAAATTGTTATCATTAATGGACAAGTAGCGTAGATATTAAAACAGTAGAGAAGTAGAATTGCTTTCTGCCATGTCTTTTTTTGGAGCACATTGCTTACTCCTTAGATCTTTTCATACTATATTGCTTAGCCAAGACATAACTTGAGAGCAGTATTTGTTATTTTTCTTCTGTGGAAGTGACAATCCATCTTAACACATCTTAGTAAGAGAATGAAGTGAAATGAAATTTAAGCAAAATGTAGTGTGAAATGGAATCCCAAGCACTGTATTACATTCTTGTTACTGTTATAAAAGTATCAATTCTAACAGACACTTGAAACTTGCTTCAAAATCATACATTCTCATTTGATTACAGTTTGGTACAGTTTACAACATTACATTAAGGGCTGTATCTGAACTGTCAATACACAAAACTGGATAGATCTTGGTCATTTCAACATGTTCTCAAAGTTTGAGCTCTTATCACCTTATCATGCTAATACTCAGCTGTTTTTATTTAGGAAGACTGGACAGTAGAAAAACCTATTAAAATGTATCTTCTGAAGAGACAATGAAAAATAATGCTGTTACACTTATCTTGCTGTGATCAGAGATCTGCTGTTAATTAGAATACAAATCAATGATGCATTAAGTACAGAAGTCTCATACTACCAAACAATGATTTCAATCACAGAACCCAGCAGTGCTGAGCAATTAGCTTGAAGAATTAAAGGCAGCAAACTGAGACTGCTGTCAAGAGTCTAAGCAAGTAAGCTTTTGTCCCTGGTTCTATGGCCAGTTAAGAGCCACTGTTTTACATCTTCCAATGCAAAGCTCCCCAAATCTGCTGAAGTCTATACTGACTAGTAAGGCCCTCCACAGCTGGAAAGCTTTCACTGCTAGTTTATTCCAGCCACCAAAACATTCTGCTCTACAAGACTCTTCCACCTACTAAGCAACTGCTGTCAGGACTGGGAAAGCTCACCAAGAGAAGTAAGATCTAACCTCTGGACCCCTACTCTACATGTGTTCCTTGAAAAGAGTTATTTTTTGCAATTCTCACATTGCCAGAGCATATTTTTGTTTCCCCTTTGCCTAATTCTAATAGCTTAGACCGTTACTTGCTACAGTAACATGACATATCAGTAAGCTTACTGTTACCACACTGGGAAAAAGATTAGGAAATAAGTGTAGTAACTGAACTCTGAACTTTTGAATGGAGGGGGCAGCTAATGCTTCATTTTTCAATTTCACTATCATGAAACATTGCAAAGAAAGTGCCTGATTTCAGGCTATGACAGGAGTTTGCTTCACTAAAGTTCATGAAAGTTTACCTACGGTAAATGTCAAACTGCTCTGCCACATTTGTTTACATCAATTTGTGGTCACACCTGCTCTTAAGCACAAGAAGCCATATTAATTGCACTTGAAACAGGACAATTGGATGCAGTCTATCCACACAGAAGAATGTGCTGTAAAGGGAGACTTCAGTTGCAGGTATATATAAAAATATCTATAATGGCAATTTCTATCAGCAGTAATGCAAGAGACTGGCAGCTTTATAATACTACATTTTGTAATTATCTCCCTTGAAAAATCACAGCCTTTCAAAGCTGCCTCTTTCCTTCAAAAAGAAAGGAAACACCTTGCCTAACCTGAAGAAATACAGCGGCACTCTTGAAAGAATTAAATAAGCAGTAAAAATATTGATTCTGTAGTGAACAGGGGAATTGATACAACTGCTGCTCAGGAAACCCTAGCCATCTAATCAGTTGTCTATGTTTACTTCTAAGCAACAGTTCCTCCCAGTCAGACTATTTTCATACTTGACTTCACTATTAAAAATACCACCTACCAGCAACTCTATGTCTGCCTCTAAAAAGTGTAAAACAAAAGCTAAGCTAGCATATCCAGAGTTTAGCAGGTGGTTGCTTTAATTTCAACTTACTTCATGGTTGGGATCTCTTGGCAGGACTAATATATCTTTCCACAGACCATGTGAGGACAGTTAGTACCCTCTTCATGCTTGTAACCCAATATAAAGTCTCATCTGTCAGCTATTATAAACTTAGTATTATAACAGAAAAGTATTAGCCTAATCAGTATACACCAGCATACATACTCTGACCCCAAGACCTAATTTAATAGGTCATCACTGAAGCACACGTCCAGGAATTGAGAACTACACTGTGACAGTTCTAACATTCACAAGTTTCCTCCCACCATTCGGATCAGAAACTCAGTTTTCTCAGCACAGTCTCTTATGTGCTAGTTACCACCACAACCCTTAAAGTAGTTTTCAAATTCAGAAAGCCAAAAAACTGAGTTCCAGCCATATTTCAGAAAAACAAAACCAAACGTGCCCTAAAATGTATTCCCCCCACACTACAAGTTTAGAAACACTTATGTAAGTCAGTGTTTGGTCTCTCTCAGTGCTGCCTGCAGGCTTCAAAATTCAGCAAACAGCAGCATCCATTAAGTGACACTTACCTCTACTTCCACAGATTGCATTGCTAAATCACATGGTGGTTTTAGTGCTTTTGGTCTTGTTGCGTACCAGTAGGTTGTGAGGGCTGCAAAAGCCCCAAAACCCATCAGTGTATTTGTCGGAAGGGTGCGCACATACTGTCTGACGTCCCCAAGTTCTGGCATTCGTAGGTGTCTGAACAACTCATGTGCTTGCATTGCAGTTCAGTGCAGTTGTCCTGATGCTGGAATCTGTTAATATGAAATAAAGTTACACACAAAGATTTGCAATCTCCTTTCAATTCACTGTTGTAGGAGAGCAAAGTATGCTCGTCCTGCTAGCTTCCCACTATCAAAATAATTTGGTCTGCCACTAGGCAGGCAATGCCTTTAGACTTCAGTCATCAATGTAAGCAAGCAATTACTGGTTCATACTCTAGAAAAACAGGTGGGGCTGACAGGAGGCAATTTCTGCAGGGTTTTAATATTGCTTTTAACAGAGAGTGCATTTTAATAAATCTTTTGCCTTTTTTTTTTTTGAAGGACAGCATTTCACAAGTGCTAAATGTTCACTTGTAGAGTAGCCTGTACTATAAGACTGAACAGTAAGCATCAAACAAAGATGTCAGGAGTGTAAGATGTTAACTTGCCTGCATTAACCTAACAGGGAGCATCACAATCTTACAGTAACATAGCAGGATTTTTCACCTCTATTAAATAAACTCACTCTTTTCTACTCTCCCTTCAACTGTGCACAGAAAACTCACTACAGCAAGCTGCCTTCACAGCCAATATCCTCCCATACCTCCTCTATGCTAGCAAGCTTCCTATTTCTCCCAGCGATTATCTCTGATCATGAAGCAGACTAAAGCAGCCTCTAAGGAGGCCCAGGGCAGCAGCACACAGCAATATAATCAAGCACAGGAAGCACATTTGATTTGTCACGTTCACAAAGAAGGAAGAGCCGAAAGAGGCTGCTCCCCACCAGCGCTCACTGACATGGATATTCCACAGCATGAACCAGCTGCGG